TTTTTTTTTTTTTTTTTTTTTTTTTTTTTTAATTGTTGGTCAGTTTGTATTTGTGTTTTTTGTTGGAGAGAGCGTCTAATGTGCTCTGTCTTCTTTTGTTGTGGTGCTTTTGAAATCGTCTGCAGGCTGGAATACAAGGTAATCATCATTGGAGCTAATAAGACGCGACTTGACTGTATAATAATAATATGGAGGTGCTGACCACGATGAGTGCAAAGACAAGTGAGAGAGAGAGGGAGAGAGGGAGAGAGGAGGAGGCATGACAAATGAGATTGCAACTTTTTTTTTTTTTTTTTTTTTTTTTTGGGTTACTTTCTTTATGCTGCTTAACTTATAGTCAAACCAGGAGAGTGGGGTAATGAATGCTGCTATCCAATACCTTTCCGGTTTGCCGATGACGGTGAGCGTATCTTATAGATTGTCTTTGCTGGGCTTGCCTTTTTTTGGTTTTTTGAAAGACAAAAAATGAAAAATACAGCTGTCTTCTCCTCATATGGGGGATGGTTGTATTTGTTATCCCTACCTTAATTTCTTCTCTCTTACCTCCCTCTAGCTACCCGTATGCCAGTTTCTAAATTGGGAAACAGTTTGGCAGGAGCATGTGGCATGCAAATATGGCATTTAAACTGTCATTATTCAGAAAACATGGCCATCATGACTGTATTGAAGGCAAATTAAACCTGAGATGCCGCAATTATGGAAACATGTCCTTCTGTGTAGGCAACAAAGTGATTGATTTGACTTGATTGATTGATTGATTTGTTGGTTGGTTGGTTGGCTGATTGATTGATTGATTGGTTGGTTGACTGATTGATTGATTGATTGGTTGGTTGGCTGATTGATTGATTGTTTGATTGATCGATTGATCAATTGGTCAAACGATCGATTGATCAATTGGTCAAACGATGGACTGAACTGATTGAATGATTTTTTCGATTGATTGGAATTGAAGTGGACGAGTGAATGGATTGTGATTTATTGAGATTGATTGAAGGACTGAACTGACTGGGTGATTGATTGGGTGAAATAGCTGAATGAATGACCATTTCTTCCCTCTCCTGAATGAATGACCATTTCTTCCCTCTCCTCCCTCCTCCCTCCTTCCTCCTCCCTACTCCCTCCTCTTCCCTCCCCCCCCCTCTCCATCATCCCTCCCCTGCAGTGTTCTGTTCAGCAACCTCCTCCCTGCACCGAGGGGACATTTGTGGTTCTGAGATTTCATGGGGAATGAGAACGAAAAAGAGCATGGGAGAAATGGAGATGTGTTGTCAAGGGTTTTGTTTTTTTTTGGGGGGGGAGGAGTAGGGCGTATACGGATAATATGAGACTGCTTTGCGATTTGAGAGTGGGGGGGAGTCGTCGCACCAGGGTTTTCAGAATGAATCAGGTTGTAGTTACGGTCAGATGCATCCAGAAGGTTCGTATTCTGGGGGTATAATCTCAGAACAGAGATGCTGTAGACTGTGTATGCCATTTTATGGAAAAAGAAGGCAACGGATTGTGCCAGAGGTGAGAATGAGGAAGAGGGAGGGGGGTTGGTTTGTCTTAAACCAGAAGAACACGGCCCCAGCCTTGCAGTCCGAAACTTGTCGYCACAAGAAAACGAGGCCGAAACGTCAAACGCTGGGCCCGCCGGTAATAAATTCGATTGGCGGTCGCGTCTTCGTTTCGGACCTCCAGAATTTGAGGTGTCAGGCCCGTGGCCCAGGTGCCCATGTACTGGTGCTTTAAGCTCTGATTTCTAAGCCCTGATTTTTTTAAGTTCTGATTTCTTAACTCTGATTTGCAAGCACTTGATTTCGTTCATCTTCCTTTCGGTTCCGTGCAATCCTCGTTCCATAGAGCTGTCCGGTTTCACGGCTCCTCTCCTCTCAATGGTTTTGTGAGTGCAGTGGTGCTGATCCGTGGGTAAAGAGAGATTGAGCTAGCCCTTAAGAAGACAAGGGGGTCTTTTGGGGAGTCTCTGCACCCCTGGCATTCCTACAGACAGTAGGCGAGCGGCGTCCGTCAAGTTCTGCTGAACGATCTCAAAGGGTGTTTAAAAACTGGTACTGATGAGCTCCTTGCCGGGTGAGTGCATGTGCTTGATTGATTATATACTGAACTAATTATTAGCACTGCTATGTACGGAATGATAATTACTACTATTACGAAGCCATAAATAAGCTTATTATATACGGTGCCAGCTGTGAGTTGGGAGTGTATTTGCTGGCTGTGATCAACATCTCCTTATTTCGTGGGGTGGTAGCTGGCTGGCTTATGAAGGGCTGTGGACCTGCAGTCTGTAGAGTCGTCCGTCCGATTATGGGCGAGTGATAGTCTGCTTTGATTGTCGTCACAGGTATACCCTTGAGGGCAGTGGAAATGTGGCCAGCCCCTGCAGAGGGGTACCAATTGTTGTGGCAGTTGCTCACACGCAACCGCAACCTTGGTTAAGGAGTATTATCAGCCGAAAGCTGGGCTAAGCCCCAGTGTGGTGTGGTATCTTTTGCATCCACGTGTGCTTTTGCTTTGTACTCTATGATGTTGATATGATATCCATCTTCTTCAACAAATCACCAGTGTGTGTATCCCCTTCCAAACCGCAACCAAGTTGAAGGTGGATTATCTACCCCAACGCACGTTAAGTCCCAGTGCGAGTAACCCCTTTGAGACTGCATCCTGCGTTAATGTGGGTTATAAAACCGCATCCTTTGTGTCAGTCCCAGTGTGAGTATCCCCTTTGAACACACAGCCCCGGTCAAGGTGGATTATCGTCCGGGAGCCGGGTCAAGTCCCAGTGTGAGTGTCCCATTCCAACGGGCCCAGCCGGCAGCTGGATTAGAATGGCAATGCGGTGGTGGCTTTGTTTAAACCGCCAGTACACCCGGTCTTGAGTGATCCCTCTCGAGTGAGTGGGTGGGTCCGCTGTGCTGGCAGGTGGGCTGAAGCCGGCGTGTGAAGCCCCCTGCCGGACTTCCTCCCTGGGTCGTATCCCCGACGCCCCTGCAACCCTTTCAAAAAGAAATCTTGCAAGCCTGGGGCCTTGTGCTGGCGGTTCAAGTCTCTTGCCGTGTCCTTGGGGGGGTTGTTGACTTATCCGTCACCACCCCCTTCTCTCCCCTGCCGTCTTCTCTCTCCCTCCGGAAAAAAATCGAAACATTGGTTGCGGAAGATGCCTAGAGGAGCTCTGGTGCTTCGAGAGTTCCTCCTCTCTTTTGCCTGAAACCTTCCTGTGCTTGCTCCCAGACCGCCCTTCTGAGCATTTTGCTGCATGATGCACTGGGTCCTTGTTGACGTTGACGTCTTGCGAAGCGAGGGTTGTGTTTCGTGCACTTTGCTGATACAAAAACACAAGTGTTTTCTGCTTCACACTTGGGGGGGTCAGGTCCCGGGTTCAAATCCCCCTGAGCCGAACAATTTTGCTGCATGATGCCCCGGGGCCTTGTTGACATAATTCTTGCGGAGCAAGGGGTTGTGTTTCGTGTACTTTGTGTGCAGAGCCGATGAGGAGTTGATTGAACTGTGTTGAGATATATCTTGTCTGGTCTTGTAGTAATGATTGTGAGGGAAAATCTGGACATGGTAAGTATATAGTATAGCACCTCCCCATGAGCAGCAGGTCAGTCTCAAGATAGTATAGCACGAAGTTGGAAACTATACTATGGCTGGAGTCCTCAACATAGCGGATTGGAACCTTGCCTTGGCATATTAATTAGACTGTTGAAAGCCTGGCTATGGTATAGCACCTTCCCAGGGGCAGATTCTTAAACCACCAGTACTTGGCCCAGCTATCGGCCGGGGGAAAAAAAAGAGTAGAAACGTTTCTAGTCGGATGATTTTGGGCGCTCCTGCAGTAGCCTGTACATTTCCTAAAATCATCGCGCGTTAACGGGCATGACTCTAGGAAGTACTGGTGGTTTAACAAAATGTTAACACATAGTACCAAGTGGTTGCAGAACAAAATAGAAACAGTCTGATACTCCATGGGCAGGTCTCGGGTTCAAATCTCTTGCACTATGCGGAACGTGTAAGGGCGTCGCCACTCCACTCTCGAAATGTTTAAAATGAGAATGAACTTCCCGCTAGAACATGTCCAGATGCGCCCGCCAAATTTTCGTCTTTCTCACATTTTGAGAGTGGTGTGGCGAGGCCCTATGTTGGAAGCATGGAGTGTGTCAGACTGGTGAGAACCAGTCGATGGTGTTGTCTATGCGATTTATTTATTTGTTAGTCTACCGAAGGTGCCTGGGTGGGCACCTGTGCAGGTCGCTCGGCTGTCTGCTCACCAGAGGTACCGTGGGCATGTTACAACTCTTCAGTTTTTTTTGCTGTTTTTTTTTTGGCTTGGCTGGGCTTCTCCTTGCTCACTGAAAGCAGACCAAATCCAGGCTCTTTTTTTTGTTTCAATGTTGTCCGCTTGCCGAGGACGGGGGTGGCAGGAGGGGGTTGTGAACGGGGCTTGAACTATCAGTACACTCTGGCCTGTAGTGCTGCACTGCGTGGCAAGCTTTTCTGAACCGTGAGCAGTGCGCTTTTTTTCTTTTTGGGCTGGCGCCGCCAGCCATTGTCGTCCGGTAGGCCTGATGCACAAAATTTCTGGAGCAGGCGACAAGCAATTCTCCACACGGTTGTGGCCGTGTACTATGGTAGCAGTTTAACAGGGGTTTAAAAGGGGTGCATTATTTGTTTGTTTTTTTGGATCTTCGACTCGGTAAGGAATTCTGTGGTGATCCTCAGCCAAAAGTTGTTTGCAGTTCAATTGTACACTGCATTCCCTCTCCCCCCCCCAAAAAAAAACTAAAAAATAAAAAAAATTGGCATGTTTTCAATATATAATTGTTTGTAATTTTGCGCTGAGGCGGCCTTGGACTTTCTTCTTTCTCTCTCCAGATGTAATTGAATCTAGAGACAACCCCCCCCTTTCCTTCCCCCCCCCCCCAATATTTTTGACATGTTTTCAAGATATAATTCTTTGTAATTTTGCGCTGAGGCGGCCTTGGGGCTTTCTTCTTTCTCTCTCCAGATATAATTGAGTCTAGAGAGTGGGTAAGTAAACAAGATAATACGCCGTCGGCCAAATCCAACCATCCCAGCTCTTATCTAGACTGAACCCTTAGCTAATGGGAATTGAAAATTGACGATGGCCCGGCGGGATTGAATTCATTGATTGCTCTAACTTACTGAAACCTCACGGAGCATAAGTTTTCTTTCCTTCTTTGCTTGATTATGTAATCAATCGCTCATCTTGATTTGCGTTCTATCCACTGTTAGTGTTTGAACTTCAGGGAGGTCCTGCCTGACTGGGCAGCTGGGTGTGTGTCCGGGTGCCCAGGTGTGGCATACTGATACCACACGGGCCCCAGTTAGGGCCCGGTTCTGTAATAGGCACAGTTTAGCCCTAGGTACCAGGTAACGACGGTCCCATTTAGGTCCAGGTAGGCCTAGGAACCGTCGGTTCAGTTTAGGGTCCGGTAGGCCTCGTTTAGACCCCACCAGACCCAACGGCTAGTTGTTTAGGTGAGGTACCGGTCCATCGGTAGGCCCAGCCGGCAGTGCAGTTTTGGTGCCCACTTTTCAGATTCCGAAATCGGATCTGAACCGTTGGGCCTGATCAACGGTCCAGATCCGAAGGCCCTCGGTAGGACTGAGGCCGACCCAGCACTATATCAGCTGGGTACCAGCCTCAGTCGGTAGGTTAGTAGTAGACAGGAGGTTAGTCTTCAGGATTAGCGCAGCGCTTCAGCGTTAGCAGGATTAGCGCAGTGCAGCAGTGTTAGTACGAGCAGCGAGGAGAGACGAGCGCAGCGGCGAGGAGGAACCAGCGCAGCAGTTGGAACAGCGCCAGCCACCGGCCCAGCCCGCGGCCCAGCGCCAGCCTCCTGCAGCGCCATAGCTAACGGGTCAGGTACCAGGGAGGAAGGCCTTGCCTTCTCTCCCTCTTCCTCCTCTGCCACTCTCTCTCTCTTTCTCTCTCTCTCTCTCTCTGTCCTCCTACCTTCTAAGTCTAAGTCTACTCCTGGGTTCTCCTACGGGACTACTACGAGTATGAAAGATGGTGACGAGTTCTGAAGACATTGGAGACAGCGACATTGAGACTGTAGGTTGAGGACTACTCTTGGGATCTGATTTCATCTTCTTCTGAAGAAGTACCTTGACATTGTGAGATCGATATCTGAGACGTTGTGAGACTGTGTTCGCGACATTTCGGATTTGCGCTACTCTTGACAGTACAAAATACTATCTTTGGAAATATTGAGTTGACGGCATCTTCCCTCTCCTCCTCCCTTCGTCTCTCTTCTCCCTCCATTTGTCCGTGTATGATCTCAGACCCTGGCCTTTCTTCTATGTCCAAGGCCAGGGCTTTCACACCACTGATGCATGATTGAGAGTGTTCGAGTGCAGTCCGAGTCAGGTCGGAGTCAGTCCATGGGTATCAACTCTTCCGCTGTATTTGTATTAACTCTGTATTATCTGGTCGGCTCTGGGAACCTGCGCCATACTTACGACTGTGTTTCGCGAGTATGCAACACCAGGTGTATGGAAAAAAAACAGCCCCCTTTTTTTTGTAATTAAGCTGATTTCGGTTGGGAAAATCAATGGATATTCTGCAATGTGCGCAGGTCAGAGGACTGGAGATCTTTGCGTTTGGGGCCTGGCCTGGATTACAAAGGAGGATAGCTTGCGCAAGTACTTCTCACAATTTGGTGAGGTAGGTGAACACCTCAAAATGAGTACCACCCTTTCCTTTTTTCAATATATACTCTGCTGCTTTGTTGGCACTTTAATCGTCGGAGTGACATTAGGCATTATTCCCACAAAGTCGCAAACTATATAGTGAGAAGATCTGGTTCACCTGCCTCAATATGAGTGATGGTCGTATCCACTTGATCAAACCTCAGTTGAGGTTGATGGATTTCTTTTTCTTTTTTTAAAGGGCGATGACTTTGGGATATTGTGATTGAGCTGACGGGCCCTGTATAATTCAGAAATATTGTTTCGTTCATCTGGTTCCATCATTTGGATTCGACCTCGGGTCTATATTTCAGCTGTTCGTGGGTGCACCTCAACTGAGCTAGGCTCATTTGGTCGAGCTTTATGGATAATTCGATTTGATTATTATTGTCTAAAGATTCGTAACGATTGAATTGTTGGTTGTCTCGAAATTGTCGGAATATCGAAATGGATTTGATGGGGGGAAGAATGTTTTAGTTTTTTTAACCTTTTTTTTTTTTCCTTTCTGTTTTGGTTATTCATGACTGCTGTTTGTCATATGCAGAGGTGGAAAAGTATCGACTTGTTGGTTGTCTGAAGGTTGTCGAAATTTTGACATTGATGTGATGGGAGCCACGACCAGCTATGCAATTGGATATCGGGTTCTTTGTCTGATTTTTTGCAATGACCTTCGCCTGTGTCATGCTTGACTTTTGGCATTACCTACGTCTTTGTCAGTGAATATTTTGTGCAAAGCTAAGGGGGAGAGAAAGGGGGGGAGGGAAGGGGAGAATCTCTCTGTATACTCACGTGGTGGCGTTTATCGTATCTGTGATAATGGCTGATTCCATTAACTGGCAGGTCACAACGTGTATGGTGAAAGTTGAGCCCGATGGTCGCTCAAAAGGTTTTGGGTTTATAAATTTCAAGTGAGTTTTCCGAACTTTTCACTGAGACTATGCTTTTGGGTGTTTTGACAGACTGTGTCTTCCATTTCGACTACCGACTTCACCCGAACAGAACAGCTGGTCATTATAGTTGTATTTGGGGCAACTTTCCCTCCAGATACAGTGATAATGGCCGGGCGTTATATTCGGGTGAAGACGGTAGTGGCGGATTCCCACTAGGATAGTCTCTACAGCATAAAACACGACGATTTTAGATTTTTGGTCTCGACTGACGTTGGAGTTGGGTGTTCCTTGTTGGAAAAAAAGCTTGATCTGAAATGCTGCAGAATATGTTCACGCCTTGCAACCACAAATGTGGCCGGTAGGGTGGCCAAGTTTGGTTCCCAAAGACAAGCACAGATCTGTGCTTATTTGCGTTCTATCTTGTCATCCTCTGTTCACAGAACCAAACTCAATCGTGCACTCTTCTTGGCAAGGGAGGTAGGAGGTGCAGTGGAAGTACTTTTCCAAAATTCAGACAGTCTTGAACTGCTGCCGATCGGTGTGGCACATGATGGTGTGCACCCCTCCGATTTGGAGTTAACCTGTCAAATTACGGACAGTGTCGAACTGCTGTCGATGGGTGTGGCACGTGAGGGTGGGTACCCTTCCGATTTGGAGTTCACCTGTCAAATTACAGAGTGTCGAACTGCTGCCGACGGGTGTGCCGCATGGTGCATACCCCTCTGATCGGGGATTCACCCGCCAAATTACAGTCTCAAACTGCTGCTGATGGCTGTGGCTCATGGTGTGTAACCCTTTGCATCCTCTGTTCACAGAACCAAACTCTGATCGGCAGTTCACCTTGGCAAAGTCTGATGTCGAACTGCACGATGCACTTGCGATCACCGCCGTCTGATCTCTGCTGCCATCAGCCTGTTATCCCCGACGTACCTTTGATCTGTTGAGCAAGAGCCCTTCCACACATGTTGGAGAGTCGCCGGCTGATGCACTTGTGATTGTTGAGAAGTTTATTTATGTGAATGAGATGACAATGACAGCGGAACGAACCAGGAGAACTGTGGAAAGGCGAGGTGCGTGTCTCAGAAGATATTCAGCGAAATAGGAAGGAAGAAGTATTTGTGACACTTGTGACGCGTCACCTGCGCTGTAGCTGAATGATGCATATGTAACTGTTGATGCCCGGTCGTATCTGCCCTGTAGCCAAATGACTGTTGATGAATGAATCACAAGTTTGAACTTCAGATCCAGATGGATACAATGTACCGTTTTCGGTGATCTGCTGTTGTTTAAAGAAAGAAAAAGTGATATTGGTGTGATGTGCATTTTATTATCTGCAGTTGGCATTTCGGCATTGCTACTCTCACAGTGTTCACCTATGTCGGAGTTTTCTGGACGTCGAAAGAGAAAAGAATCATGAATTTGCCAATTTGGACTTCAAATCCTGGTGGATATAGTACGCTGTTGTTTACAAAGTACGCTGTTGTTTACGAAAAGGAATATGATACTGCTGTGATGTGAATTTGATTATCCACTGTCTGCATTTAGGCAGCTCACCACCCTCTGCCTTCAACAATATGGGAGTATTGTCTGGACCCTGAAGAAAAGNTTGATTATCCACTGTCTGCATTTAGGCAGCTCACCACCCTCTGCCTTCAACAATATGGGAGTATTGTCTGGACCCTGAAGAAAAGGAAGGACGGACCCGGGGAAACTGGACTGGACTCAGCAGTGCTTTGTCAAAAAAGGAGGAAGAAAGAAAGAGGAGGAGGATGGAGCGTCCTGTTTGCCGGTCAACTTTGATTTGTTGTTGTTCTGATGAGCTGGATGTGCCTTTTTTTCTCTGGCTTTTTGTCAGCCCTTTCTCAAGTTAAATGTCAGCTGAGGAAGAGCATAATAACATTAATGTATTCTGAATTTCTGAGTGATTTTCTGGACTCGGATTGACTGTGATTGTGTGACTATGCCTTGGATGGGCTCACAGGGATGCGGAGGTAGCAGACAAAGTCCTGCAGCAAGCCCATGTGATTGACGGACGGCCGGTATGTTGCGATTGTTCTTCAACTGTGCCATTTTATTTCTGTGTGGCATTTAACAATGGCGTGAATGGTTTAGGCATGACAACTGAGCCGAGCCTCTCAGCGGTTTTCACCGGTCTGGCATTTTAGATATATTAGACATACACCCTCCAATCGAGGTTGCGAAGCGGGAGAACTGAAGTGTGTCCAAGACGTTTTCTGGCTTTATGAATGCATTTGTTTTGATGATCTCAGCGGGACAGATTTATACAGATCATGATATGGCAAAGTTATGGGTTCAAGGCTCCTGCAGGGAATGTCCGGTGCTCAGCAGCTGAGCGGTTGGCCGTCGACCCTCCAGTGGGGTGCCAAGGAGTTCAGCCTCTTTCCCTGTGGGTTGTGTATGTTGGGACCTGTGTCGTTTTTTTTTTGGGGGGGGGATAGGCAATGGGTTATTGCTGGACGACCCCTTGTTGCATGAAGAGTTTGGTGGCTGCTTGATGGCCAACCACTTCTTTCAGGGCTAGAACTATCAGAACCATCAGTTTTGCCTGCACGTGGACTTTGGAACTGTTGTGGCTGGGGGGAGCTGCTGGGGTGGGCTGACTGAGTTGGTCTCGTAGGCTGAACTGACCATCAGCCCCTTGAAAGCCACGGTAAAACCTGGGAAACGTCGCATTGCCGTGGACGTTGCAAGCACGGAATCAATTGCACTGCTCTTCAAACAGTCGCCTTCGCTGGTTCGGGACCTTTGGGTTTATTCTTGATGATAAGATGCTTATAGACGAGAGAGCTCAGTGATTTGATCATCGCATATTGCCAGTTCTCACTCTTTCGACCTGGTCTTGAGAATGGTTGCCGTGCTTGCAACAAGTGGTTTGGTACTTTCCTTCCATCTTGCGTTGTGTTTATTGGCGGTTTGATTGATTTCTTGTTTGCTTAGGTCTTTGCTTACTATGCCTTCCTGCCGCATTCGTGCCGTTGGGCCAAGCAGATGAGTTGCTCGTTGCCTTGGCTTTTTGATGAGACGCCTGTTTTCTGCCTTTTTTTTCACAGGTTGAGCTACGGCCGCCCAAAGACAAACTAGAGCGTGAGATGGCCAAGAAAGTTTTTGTCGGAAATGTAGATAGTTCAATTACCGATGAGCTTCTGCAGGAGCATTTTTCGAAGTGAGCATTCGCAACGCATCTACCGTCTCCAAGCCTTTCTGCACCATTCACATCATATTTACACACACACACTGTTTGTGCATTTGTGTACATTACATGCGGTGCACCAGCTATACAGCATGTGCAGCGCTTGTACACGATGCACAGCATGCAACAATAAACAAACGAAAAAGCAAAAAAAAAACGAAAAAACTGCAATAAAAGTTTGTATGATGGAGACTATTATCTTGAGCAACTTTTCGCTGAGTCGCTACCTGAAACTATACCCCGTGAATGTGCAAAAACCGGAAATGGAAGCCCCAAGACAGCAAGAAAGAAGAAGATGAATAAGAGGTGCTCCCGCAGGAGATAACCCAGCTGCCGTATCCTACCGACCAGCTTTAATCAGGATCTGCAGAGAAGTATAATGCCCCAGAAAATACGCAAGGCCAAATCCAAAGAAGTAATGCTCCAGAAGATAACGCAAGCGCAAATCCAAAGAAGTAATGCCTCAGAAAATATGCAAGTCCAGATCGAAAGAGGGGGTACTAAGACAACCACTTTTCAGGAACCTGGGGGTAAGGGATGATGGCTACCACCTCCCTCTAGATCAGCGACCGGTTTGCAAAGGGGGTATAGTATGGAAGATCAGCCACATCTATGATGATCATGAAAAGGGCTCAACGTCTGCTACAATCTATCTGAGTAGGCGTGCAATGTGTAACGAGCACAACACCCCATTCGCTCTGTTCAGAATGCGCAATGTCTGACCAGGATCATTCCGAAAAGCTGGGAATGACTGCCTACCGCGGGATTCATTCATGCGGAGACCCGGCGAATGGAGTTTTGTCCTGATGCAGGAATCTGTACCATCAAGAGCCATACCAATTCTCTCAATTCTCGCATAGACAGTTAGTGACATGCCAGGCCTCAGTTTTGGACCATTTCTTGATTGATGCATGTCATCCTTGAAAGCGCAGGGGCCATTTGCTAATTACCCTTCTCTGTATCGTTCCAATTTTAACGGATGTCCCAAAGGACCGGGCCACAGTTTTGTCTCCTTGTCCCCTTCCAAATCGACTATACACAACCTGAGCCGCCGACAGTCTATGGCATCGACCCAGAGGAAGTAACCTTGGATTCTTGGAAACGTACTGGCGGTTGAAAGGTAAAAGATTCCATGTTAGAAGCCGAACGAAGCCTCTGGTGCAATGAATCGGGATGAAGGCCAAATAACTGGAATATCATGGAAGCCGGATCGAGTAAAGAATGCTTATCATGGGTCCTTCAGGGTACTGGAAGGAAGCCAGATCCTGTACATGTTATTATCTCTATGGCTTGCTGGGGAAAAGGAACCAGACAGACGCTCCTGAGAATGGATGCGGGTCCAGGACGAGAAGGACCTGCTTTTTTGGTTAAAAAAATAAAAAAAATAAAATGAAAAACGATTATTTTCCTGAAGTTTCTTTAAATGTTATGTTTTCTTTTCAGCACGACAACCGCAGCATTTTCCACGTGCTTAGCCGGGCGGTCCTGGCTGGGTGAGTGAGGTATGGGCAGGGCAGTCCCAGAGGAAAATAAGAAAAAATAATTAAAATTTATGAATCAATAAAAATCCGGGAAAAAAGAACTGGTGTAAAAAAACTAATTGTGTTAAAAAAAGGCTTGTGTAGAAAATATGCTGCAGAGGTGTAACATTTCTTTTTTGTTTTTTTTGGAAATGGGGGCCGCTGTGATGACTTCTTATGCAGAAGAGTGCGCGCACTTCCCTGACAGGCAGACAGGCATAGGAACACTGAACTTGACAAAGAGCCACCATCAATGCCGTTTCCTTTCTAGGGGGGGGGGTTGCATGTTTGGGTGGTATCTGAGAATACAAATGCACACCATCTCATGGATAGTGGAAGCTAGCTTGCATGTGTGTGTGTGTGTGTGTGTGTGTGTGTGTGTGAGAGAGAGAGAGAGAGAGAGAGAGAGAGAGAGAGAGAGAGAGAGGTGGGGGTTGCGTGTTCGGGTGGTATCTGAGAACACAAACACACACCATCTCATGGATAGTGGAAGCAAGCTTGCATGTGTGTGTGTGTGTGTGTGTGTGTGTGTGTGTGAGAG